TWAAAAAACGCTCAGTGAATGAAAATGTTYAGGTAACCGCTGACAATAAATACAATTACATTGTAATATTGTATTATCTTAATAAATTATTATATTTAAATTTATATTGTTATTATTCAAGTACCTACCTACATATATATGATATTAATTATATTTAGGTACCTACTGCAGAGCCACGTTTTAATAATGGGGAACAAGGGGGCTAAAATTGCCTCGGGGTGGCAAATTTTTGAGGATCAACATAATATAAAAAGTATATAATTATATAGGTAACTATTATTATAATTTTCCTAAGGGCGGCAACATAGCTTAACGCAGCTCTCAAGGCCGTAACTTGGAGGGAGGGGGGTCCGGACGTTGTCTATATGATTATTCGTCATTCATTATTAATAAACTGACGTTTTCAATTTGGAATATTTTTTCAGATGATTATCATTTAAAAAATTAATTATATAAATATAGTGAAGATATTAGAACAAGTTTTGGTTTCATAAATAAATTAAAATATGTAAGCCACGGCTAAAAGTAATATGCATGTAACTATTGAAATTTTCAATAGGAAGGATTGTATTTTTATAGATCATAAGTTCAAATAAAATATTGACATCCAGACAAAAAATATAGATAAGAGTATTGAAAATATAAAAKATGATACACAAAATGATTCACCAAAGCCTCCCATTTTTCTTTAAAWAATTTATTCAAATTCTCTTCTTAGAATTTGTAAGTGTACTTAAAGATAATTTATCAAATAATTATTGTTTATACAATAATTAAAGCATCGTTTTGATTTATTATTACTTCTGTAAAAATTTAAAATAGACATAACATTGAATCTAATATTTATTATATGTACTCGGACAATTTTAACAAACTATAATATTTCGATAAACAAATATTAATTTATATAATTTTATAATCATAATAATCAATACATCTACTGAACCTATATTAGTATACAGTGAATGACTCAAAATCTACTCGTTTAAATTTTGATGTACATACCCTACATCAATATTTTCAAAAAAGATTATCTCCAAACAATAACAGAAAAGATAACAATGGTTCAGATTTGAACAAAGAACTTTGTACAGTTGGTTGGTATAATAATAATGTCAATAATCAATTATAGATAGCCAGTATATTTAATCTCTGTCCAAAAACAATTTACTTCCAGTCGGCCAATTGCCTATTGTTTTAAATTTCCTTTATACTCCAGTAGGTATATTACTTTTTCAATTACTAAAAAAAGGTGTTTATTCAGCTATTATACCATTCCAAGAACAAGTAAACAATGATAAAATGTGTTTATTAGACAAAAAGTAGGACAACTGCGGTTATCAAACAAAAGTCTAGTAAAACAGATTAAAATATAATATAACCTAGTAAATAAATAAAAAATATATATATTATACGAAGAAAAATTTCAAATTCAGTACACTAATGCGCGTCAAACTAACAATTATTATAATACTGCAGGCGCAGGATGGTGAAGAGATAACGGAAAAAAGCTCAAGTCGATAAATGGCAGCAATCATCTGATACACATGGCACTTCTGTAACTGGTACTCTTTCTTATCTGAACATGTTTCTCCATTATAGATAGACGTTTTAATTATAATGAAACAAATAATTTTCGACATACACCATGCACCGCAGAAACATATATTAATAAATAATTTATTTCGAATACATCAGGTATTTATGTATAAAAAAAATTAAATAGTTATTCACGTCCGACACCACAATATATGATATACCATTGACTTTTGACTAATACACTAAGGTTAAGGTAAAACAAAACAGTATAGTATTGTCTCAAGAAATGGTATATAAACAATAAAATATATTATGTGTATTCATATATAATATATATATTATAGTATATACATCAATACAGTGTATTCTTTGCATATTACATTTAACCAAATGGATGTGGGTGTGTATGCGTGTGTGGCAGACGTGCATATTATAATGTTACCATAAAAATTGAAATTAAATGAGGATTAAATAAAAAATTTCAATTTTCTCTTTACAAGTGAAGAAATAAAACGTTTAATGTGTCTTTTTGTATACTTTTCAAAAATTATAATAATCATAAAAAAAAATTACAATAACTTGTAATAGGCTAATAAATATTATCATGCCAAAATAGTATGTAAAATGTTTTGAATATCATTGATTGATTTATTATAGCTCGTTTTAAAAAAAAAAAATTTTAACTTTATCGGTGAGTGAGGAATGTGAAAACGTCCCTAATATTTAATAATTAATATTTATATAATAATAATAATAATAATAATAATAAATTACTAAAACACTGGAGATTATAATTAATCGTAAAAATTACAAGATTTTAAAATTATGTTTTAAAGTGTAAAACAACAAATTATTTATAATATAATTTTTCATACTTAAGATTATTATTATTATTTTTATATCATATTATCATAATTTTATGTATAATAATATAATATGTTAAGATGAAAACATTGCTAGCAAAAACTGAAAAGAAAAATTGTAATATTTAAAAAAGAAAAACACGTTGCCGTCGGATAATTTTTTTTGTTTTTTTATGTTTGTTTTTTTTTTACAAAATTTACACAGCAGATTTACTGCYAAACAAAAGAACTGATTTTGGTGAAATTGAAAAAAAATTAACCATATAGATGATAGTATAACGAATATCTCAACACAAAAAAAAGTTCACAGAGTTCCACATGTGGTAAAAAGATAATTAATCTTTGTTTACTTTTTGATAATCACATTATCTTTTTAAAGCTTACTCGAACAAAAAAAAAAAAAATGCAGGTTAATTTCTTCCTTTTTTTTTTTTTGAAAAAAAAATATGATAAAAAATTACATAATAATAATTAATAATGAAACACATTTCACTTAGAAGTCATCATGGTCACGAACTCTGAAACAAAATACAAACAGTTGCATAAGTTATAATACCAACACATAAAATATCAATAATATAGTTGGTTACAATCATTTACAAATTCTACCTAATAAATTAGAAACAAAGAAAATTTTGTAAAAATATTGAATGGCCAAAGTACAGGAAATAGGGTGCATGGAAGGTTCTAAGTGTTCTTTTTGCCTTTTGATTTCTTTTGTGGTGTTTTTTTTAGAAGGTACTTTTGCATTTGATTTTTCACCAACAAAATGTATGCTAAAAACAAAGAAACACAACCAAGGAACAAAGGAAAATAAACAAAGATAAATAGGAAAAATGTATTTAAATAGAAGTAACACTCATGCGTAAACACAAGACTACATCTAAATTCTCACTTCAATCAATTATTTCTACATGCATAATATATTTAGAAATTGTATCATCATGTAAAAAATAAAAATATTGATCATACATTTAGTATAATAGGTAGGGTTACTAGGTTGATAAYGTCAATCAAATACTGATAACACATTAATGATGGTACGTCACAATTCAACGAATTGAGATATCAAATGTAATTATAATGGGATTAAAAAAAAAAAAACAAAACACAAATAGAGATATGAGCACTGACCACAGTCACAGTACGTACAAAAATGGTCCGAGCTAAAGTATGGAAATCTGCAAAGTTAAAAAGAAAAAAATCTAAAACACCTAACTATCTGTGTCCTCAATAATTAGCAAATGCYAATGGCTACATAATATTTCAAACATTTCTAAACTGATTAACTAATTAAGATAACATTTTGCCCAACTAAAATATTATATTTTAGGCTGTAACTACAAATATTGTTACATTTAACTCATTAATTACCAAACAAAAATTGTGTTTAAATAAATAAAAGCGATTGAAAACAATTTAATATGAATTAACTAAATTACTGTTTTAATTATTATTAATAAAATTAATTTAAAATTTTTAATTTAATAGGTATCATTTGAAAAAGCATATTAATTAATAAATACTATCTGTAAACTACTAATATTTTGAACATTTTGTCTCCTATAGTAGGTATTATGTCATCTTAATTGAAATAAATTGATTAATTTTATGTTATATAAATATTTAATTGAGTCGTATACTTTTTGAACAATCTGATTAATTTAAAACACGATAAATAATAAAAACAATTAAAAATTGTTGATACCATTAACGCATATTAGAAATAAGTAAATAACTAACTATAACACAGGTTTTGTACAAACAAATTAAAACTGTTTTTAAGAATTTAGATAATATCTTAACTACCAATCATTTTTAACAAAATAAATTTTAAAGCAATTATTTTAAATCCAATTAATATTGATTCAATATAACAAACAGAAAAATGTGTATATGTGGCACTCAGATGTCTCAGAATAAATAATAATTGATGGGATAAGCTATTTAACAAAATATTATTGTTAAGGATATTCCATTAATATAATATAAATCAAACTCTTTCAAATTTTAAATGGTCATCTATTTTTAATTTCCGTAAGACATTTTGATGCAGATAGGATCCAATAGTTTATTACTTTAGATAAAAATAATTAAAACTTATATAAGTGGAACAAGAAATATTTTATACATCTAACAACTTATGKAACCAACACAATTCACAAATATTTGGAATATCAAACCATTACTACTCAAATAAAAAAATAAATAGATCAAGTTGAACATATAGAATATAGATAAATTAATCGTTTGTACTTAGATGGRCAATGTATTGTATATTTTTTTATAGTTTAACTTAAATTTTAAAGTAGGTGCATGTTTAATAAAATAATCCATAATACATTTTTTCAGTTAAATATAACATATCTCAACTCCAGAAAGTTTTTAAATGTTTCAATGATTTACCAATACATTTAAAAAAAAAAATAATTTTGGTGTTAGTAAATATTTAAAGTTGTAATGGAAATTTTAAATAAAATAAAAATAACTACTGTAAACAATGGATGAATCATTTTTAGCAGGATATGATTTTGTTCTCTGGCAATGTAAGAAACTATTTATTTGTTCGTAGGGCGTTATGTTCAGAGTAGGCCTGAAGTCCTTGTTTGGGCGTCTATATAACAGAATTTCTAGTTATTTGGGTACTTGTAGGTTTCTGCCATGTCCAGTTCGGAAATGACGTCTCCCCCCCTAAACGGTTGCCTGTCCAGAGAAAGATCCCGCCCATGGCCAGAATTTGAACAGGCAATGGTACACATTAGATCCGACACCGTAGTTTGCTCAACCACTCCATACCCCAGTAAGTAATTATGAGATAAGTAGTATGAAAATATAATTTTTTTTTTCTATTAAATTTGTACCTACCCACTATTGTTAACATAACATTATATTATATCCACCTATAGGATAAGGAAAATGTACTTCAACAAGAAAAGCATTTGCATCTGCCCATTTGTACAAGTACCCACGGTAATAATGCTGTAACATGTTTATAAACCACTATCCACTATCTGAGTAGGAGAATCAGCATTGGAACATTCACTAATGTAAAAACAAATTCYTTCTTTTGTGGTCCAGAATATAGTATGAGTGAGAATCAATATAATCTGTTAATACTAATAATATTAAACTGATTTACAATATTATATTCAACAAGAGGTTAAATGTGTTATACACTTCTCTGCTAGCACTTCCCATATTAAAATATTGTCTCACATAGAGAATCGATAGGCAWTTATAACATATTTTGTAATAACATATCATAATTATGTGRTTATCTAAATTCCCATTAAATACCTTCATAGTTGACTTGACCATCACCATCAATATCAGCTTCCCTGATCATTTCATCAACCTCCTCATCGGTGAGTTTTTCTCCAAGGTTAGTCATCACATGACGCAGCTCAGCTGCACTAATAAAGCCATTTCCATCCTTATCAAATACACGGAAAGCCTCCCTAATTTCTTCCTCACTATCGGTATCCTTCATTTTGCGGGCCATCATAGTCAAGAACTCTGGGAAATCTATCGTGCCGTTGCCTATGAAAAATATAAACAAATTATTTAGTTGAAAATTAGTAAAATATAATATAATGTATCATTACCATCAGCATCGACTTCGTTAATCATATCTTGGAGTTCAGCTTCAGTCGGATTTTGGCCTAAAGACCGCATTACGGTTCCAAGTTCTTTGGTAGTGATGGTACCATCTCCATCCTTGTCGAATAGTGAAAATGCCTCTTTGAATTCGGCAATCTGTTCTTCTGTTAGTTGATCAGCCTAGATTATTTAATAACATATGTTTTAGAAGTAGCAATAAAAAAAATTAAGTATTTAAAACCCTCACAACTATTTTTCCCTTCCACWTTTTGGTATTACAACTTAAATATTTTGATTATTAATTTACAAAGTACTATTTAATTCAGATATAAAATGTAAGATACCCAATGCAAAATAATTCAAAATTAGGTACCTACCTAATGATTGTTATAAAATTTAAAATAAAATAACATTATTTAAAGTTTTAAAATTACTAAATTCTTGAATAAGATACCTAGATGACAATAAAAACTATATAATATCAATCTATATATCAATTAAATGTAACTTAAACCACTATTGAATACCTTTCTTTAGTAAAGTTACATTGTCTTAATATAAATTATTATTAAATAATCTCATACTCACATCAAGGTACCCASCCAAATTTATTACATATCTATATTTAATGTTTTTTATTATTTGGATAAAATAAATATTCTAACATTTTTAAATAAGTAGGAATTTCTTATCATATTATGTTTCAATGTAACAATTTGTTGTTTATTATTCATAGACCTTTTCTTAATGAACCGGCCTGCTTCATGTTTCCAYTTTGTTCAGATAGGTTTTGATTTTTCAGTAATCGAGTTACTCTGACATGGTACAATACATATATTAAACGGGCTACATCACTGTTCCATGTCGGAATGTGACTATCAATGAACTTGGTAACAAATTGGGGGTCTATGAGTAAATGGTCTAAAAACATAAGTACTTATTGTAAGTTTAAGAGGGAAAACTAAAAACATTTTTATCCCCGAAGATATTATAAAAAAATAATTTTCATTAATTAGGTACATAATTTTATTTGTAGGTACCAATTCAACCATCAAAAACAAAATTACAGGTTATATAATATGTATAACAAATAAAAGTAAATAGTAATAGTACCTAATTTAATCACTTTGTACAAGTAATTATGAAAAAAATGCATAGGAATCATATTATTAACAATAAAGTTATTATTGATAGGTAGGTCTTTATAAACTAGGCCATATTAATATTAAACACATAAATTTGCTAAAAGCAATACCATGTACTGTGGATGAATAATATCAATATACATTTAGATTAGCTAAACCAAATACGACTAAAAATGTATATTATTATTATTTTAAATGCATGTAAAAGAGCAAATAACATTTCTAAAATGTTACTAGCACTATCACAAACTTTTGAATAAAACAAACAAGTAGTTACAATGTTAATTGGTATTTATTTAATTTATAGTTAAGTCAATGATGTTTATATATTTTAATGCAATAAAATTGAACTACAGAAACCTATCTAATAAAGTTATCATAAAACTTGATAATTTTGTTGTTTTAATTTACAAGGGTATTAAAATTGTAGTTAATGATAGATACATAATAATCATAAGTAGGTACTACTTTAGAATTTTAATCACAGATTTCATACATTAGGTTATTTTTCTAGTTATTATGTATTTGCCTATATATTATTGATGACAATACTTATGAATACCTATTTAAGCAAGGTTGGTCTAATTTTGGTAAGTAGGTAGATTATAGACTAAAAATGAAAAATAAATCAAACCGAGTAATAATAAATATAATAATAAAATAATATAATATAATAATAATAAACCTAGGTGTCTATGAACTTATGTTGAGCCTCAAAGTCCAAAACAAAACACAAACTCTAGTCAACAGAATCAAAAACACARCAACGATTGAAAAAAATTCAATCAAAGGCGAAAAGGCCAAGGTCATAACCTTTAACAGGTAAAATATCCTTACTACCCCACGAGATAAATTTGTTATTACTTATCAGAAGATCAGTGTCATAATTATTATAGCTAAGCAATTGTCTTAACAAAAATAATCAACAGATATAAATTAATCCACCAGAAATGTTAATAGGATAGGC